GAGAATTCTCAAGCTTTCTCCTCCATTCTTCCTTTCACATTATGATGCCAGGAAAAAAATCTTTAATTTTCACTGAGGCATTAATGACTTGACATAAAAGGCTAATTCTAAAAATAGAAATGGAGTTTTTTTTTTTCCTGCATGAAGCAAAGCTTTAAGCTTCTTTAGAAAAGAAGGAGAAAGCACTGTTCAAAAAGTAGAGATCTTAATTCCTGCCCTGGTGACTTGAGGAAAGGGTCTGCCCTTTTGGATGTAATAGTCCTCATTTTGTTTTCTTATTTTTGTTATTTTTGGAGATGTTGGGGTGGGAGTCTTGCTGTGTTGTCCAGGCTGGTCTTGAATTCAAGATTCTTCTGCTTCAGACTCTGGATGCAACTGAGATAATAAGACTACACTCCTTAAACCATCAAGACTTACAGAGTATGAAAGCCATCAAATCCACTAGCACCACCACCAGCAGCCACCATCGCCACCATCACTACCATCATCATCTTCATGGCAAATACAATTTTATTATTTTTTTATCTTTTTATTTTTTGGGGTACCAGGAATCAAACTCAGGATCTGGTGTTTGCCAGGCTGCTGATGTGCAGCTGAGCTATATCCCTGGCCCTTATCATTTTCTTTTATTGATGACTTTTATTGATGACTTATGTGAAAAAGTCAAAAGTGTAATAAACACTCGGAAGTGGCAGGAAACCAATGAGACTGAAATTATCAAGACAAAATGAAGACTTAAATGCAAAGCTTTGTATTTGCATCCTACATATTATCCGCACAAGCTAGGGGAGCAGTGGGGAGCAAGAGAGTTCAAAGACAGGTCTAAAAGAGTTGAGCTGTTTTGGTTAGTAGTTGTGATACTAGGCCTAGTTGTAATAATAGGCACACCAGGTGTCGATAATATATATTCCTAGTTCTTTAGAATTTAGAGGGATTTAGCAGAAACAGGAAAGGAAGAATGAAGGAGGTGATTATCTCCCTCTTCTCAGGGCTGATTAGGCCTCCCATGGAAGCTGGCATTTTATTCTTTAAAAATACAGAAATCAGAGAAAACTAGAGCAAGAGTGACCTGTGAAGCAGGAAGGAGTGGTAGAAAGGGCTCACTGAGGAGTAGACAGCCGGCTTAGGCCACTTGTGGGCTGTGGGGATTGGTCACCCAGCACTCCTCTTGGGAGCTGGGCACAGGACTCTCCGAGGACAAGCACAGAGGCTGGCGGCTGTCTGGCTTACTCTCCAAGGTTTTGGTTTTCTGCTCAGACCATGTGACGGGTGGCTTCCTGTCCTCTTATCTAACTCACCCAGGGAGAAGGGGTCCTGCGCCCCTGGGCACCATTTTACATTCTCAAAATGCCTCTTACTTTCACAGAGTCTATACCAATTGTTTCCCTTGAAATGTCTTCCAAAGTATCACTTCTTTGACTTCTTAGGCAGCCAAAATGGTGGTAATTTACATCCACATCAGCACATACATCAATCATCAAGGCAATAAAACATCTAAGAAAATAAGTTATGAAATCCCACAGATGTGAATATTAAACTAGCCTTTCCTACTAGCTTTGCAAACACAACCAAATGGCTCAAACTTTCTGAATGTCAGTTCCCTTTTCCATAACCTGGGATTAACATCTGACTTGCAGTGATATGACTGTTACACACAGCTAATATTACTATTAGTGTCCTACTGCTGCTCCGTCCCTTTCCTTGGGACCAGCACCCTGCTAGGACAGAAGACCAGGTAGAAAACAAAACAGACAGACACATCCTGTGCCTGCACCAAGCTGATATTTAACCAGTGTGGTTCAGTTGAGCCTTTCACAATGCAGGAAACATTCTATATGTGCCTTCTCCCATAAGGTAGCCAAAACACACATGTGGCATTTGAGCACTAGGAATATGACTAGTGTGACTCAGGAACTGGATTTGTAATTTAATTTTGGCGTAAAGATGCAAATGACCTTGGAAAGAGCCACGTGGGAGAAGAGAGCGCAGCTTTAGATGTGTTTCAGGTACATTTCTGAAACTGATCAAGATGAACAGAATAAAGAAGTGTTGAAAGAGAAATGTACGCAAAGCACATGGCAAATTCTAATTTATTTATCACACTTAATTGTCAATTATGCATCGGTGGAATCAGGTGCAGAGGATACAAGGAAGAGTTAGTTGTGATTTCTGACCTCAGGGAGCTCACTGCTTAGTGAAGGAGAAGCAAATACATGATTTTACTACAGTGAGGTAAACATATGCACACGTACTGTGGGATGCAGCTGGGAAGTCAACCCCCAATGATAGGGTTTTATTTTTTTGATCACATAAACTCCTTTATTATAAGATGACATCAACTCCTATGGTGGAATTTTGTAACAGCTTTGGACTTGGTCTGCGTACTGTGATTATGGTTGAAATGTGAAGATACTGTTACTGATTGATTTGAGCTTGCAGAATCTAGATATGAAGAGTAATCCACATTCATAGGAGTGAAGATTTGTATAATTGTTTGTGTGAAGAAGTGGGATGCTATGCACATTTATGTGTTTCACACAATAGTTTGATTTGCTCAAAATATGGATGCTGGCTAAAGAATTCTGCAGCTGACAGTTGCTGCTTAAATAAAAATGGGCATAGTGTTGTATGATATGGCATTATACTCACCCTTGAGTTATAAAGTAGGGTGATACATATGATTCCTGCTCCTACAAGGGATGATCATGTGGTGTAGCTTGGTTGTGTGAGAACCTCTGGGCAATTTGTTTCCCTCGGGTTCACCTGACCCTTATGGCAGAACTGCCTCTGGTGAATAGAAGTGTGTGTGATAAAAATTAGTTTCTAGCAGACCAACAGGGACTTTCTGCAAGGATTACAAACCACAACACTTTAGGAGTTTTAATTGGTATAGTCCTTTAGAAAACTGGCTTCTCATGTGTGCTGGGGATCCTCAGTCATGCCCTTTTCCCCATTGATGCTACTTCCTGCATTCTACCCAAAGGAAGTGATTGTAATTGTGTGCAAGAGAGTTATTTGTAGTTGCTAAAGAGAAGAAGCAACTTAAACGATGTACAGTGTGATAACATGGAGCCAGGGTAAATGTCCATAGAAGACTTGGCTATAACACTCATTAAGGGAGAGGGGAAAAAAAAAGCAAAGAAGCAAGAGTCCCGGATGCTAAGTGGTCACACACTGGGGGTCAGACAGCCTAGGTTTGAATTATAACTCTGACACTCATTAGCTGTAGGATCTAAGCAAACTACCTGAATTATTTGCTATCCTAAAAAAAATGGGGTTGATAATAATACACCTATCTCAGAGGGACTTCAGAGGATTAAATGCCATCACGAGTATAAAACACTTAACACCATGAAAAGTACATTTATTAGGTTACCTACATATGTTGGCCCTCTATGGACTGTATGACTTCCAGGCATAAAAATAGATGGGAAGAAATATGCCAGTATATTAACAGTGTGGGGATCTGGGTGGTGGAATCGTGGATGATATGTTAATTTCTCTGTACACACTTTGCAATTTTCCAAATTTTTCTCTAAGGGACATGAATAAGAGAGTATATCGTCGGTTGTAACACAGTAAGTTACTTTTAAAAAACGAATTTAACCACAATGAAATAGCACTTCCCTTTCCTCTACTCCTTGCCCTTCCAGAGAAGGAGCTGGGCAGCCCTGGCAGAGCCTCACACAGTTCCGGCCCGGGCCTCTGACAGTGTCAGGGCTGGAGGGATCCTTGGCACCTGTTGCTGGTGTTGCGTGGGGAGATGGAGCGGAGGAAGCTGGAATACACGTTCTTAGGGGTTTCTCCCATTTCTGAGTTTACATTCTGAGGTTTCTCTTTTTCTCCCTGTAACATGGCTGATTTGAACCGCTCATTTACTGGCTTCCTGCCCTAGAGCCCTCTTAGAAAGATACCTGTAACACTGCCTGTAACGATGGACTAACACAGCAAAGGCCAACTGGCAAACAAGGACTTAGATCAACTCTAAGATCAACTCAGGGCAACGCTAGAAGTTAGCCGAGTGCAGTCGTTTTAACGAGGATGGTTTATATCCAGAGAGGAAATTCTGGCGCACAGAGCCCTTTCCAACGTGACAAACAGCGAAAAACACCTTCCTGCGTTAGGACCCATCCCCGGAAGAGAAGACCAGACAGCATACGACGGGGTGCGCGCGCCGCCTTGCGCGCTAGCGTTTCTGAGCGAACCTTGACGTTTGCGCCCTCTGCTCTGGTGTCCTTCACTGACAGTGAGGGTGCCCGTGCTTCAGCAAGTGACTGTGCGAGCTGTTATTGCACACAGGGAATTCCAGGCACCAACATAACGAGGTCGACGCCCCCATCCGGAGCAGAGGGGCAGTTTCCGGTTCTGTGGCCTCCCTACTATCCCTCAGGCTACTGACCGCCGTACACCTCCAGATGCAAAGTGCGTCCCCCCAAAACTCCGGAACGACAGCAAGAGGACCGGCCCTCCCAGGCCCTGCTTCCCACAGCGAGGTCATGGCACGCGCGCGAGGCCAGGGCAGAGAGCCGTGCCGTGCTCCGCGCGCCCCTGCGGCGCTGCGACCAATCACCTCCGCGACGCCGCGGACCCCCACCCCCACTCCGCCACCCCGAGCGGGCGCCACAGCCCGGCTGCTCACGTGCGGGCCGCGTCTCAGAGGCTGCCCCGTCCCGAGCTCGCCGCTGCAGCGATGGCGGCCCCCGAGGCGGCGCGTTCCGGTCACTTATAGGGCTCTTTGCCATTCCACGGCCCCCTCCCCAAACCCGAGTTCACTCGTCCTGAGGAAGAAAACACGCTCAGCATTCACAGGGTGAGGTTTGCAAAAGCGATGGAGTTTTCAAAAAGCCCTACAGGTGACTCGGGATGCGCACTCTGCGAGACACACGCACACGCACATGCACATACACACCCCGAGGCACCTCGTGACTCGGGCCTGAACAGGTCTTGACCCTCTCCTGCTCGTTAGCGTCCTCTTGAGCGCACCACCCCTACAGACTTTACGGAGGGGCGCTCCCGAAGTCTCAGAACCCTGCGGGACAGTTGGAGGCTTGGGGGGGTCACACCTCAAGAAAAGTGTCCCCTGTTCTTCTCATCTCTTACGCTGCCTGGAGCGCACCCTGGATACCAAAGAGCTAAGGTAAGTCCCGAAGGGGACCAAGCAGACCAGTTGCTTCAGCAAACTGCCTGCAGCGAGGCCGTCTTTCTTTCGCGCGTCTTTGGGATCCGGAGGCCTCCGAATTGCGGAGAAGCTGAGCCCTAACCCTGTCCCCCGCTCCAAATCCCGCATTCCCTCAAGGAGCATCCTCTCCCACAGGGCTTGGTGGCAGGTGGCACTGTCAGAGTGAGCGCAGTGACCTCGTCCGCAGCCCCTTCCCTGGCCGCGGGACTGGCTGCTACCTTGCCCTCCTTTTCCAAGTTGCTGTACTCCCTTCCACCCCCAAACTCGAGACCCCCTCTGTCGGGCCGGCAGCTGTCTTACCTCACCATGCAACACTTGGTTGCGCGGTTGCCCGGGGCGCTCCTTCCTCACAGTTTATTCCCTTACTTGGGAGGAAAGAGGAACCGAGAGACAGAAAGGGGACCGAAGCTGGCGTGCAGGCGGCCTCCCGCCCGCGCGGGCCGTTCGGGCCGCTCGGGGGAGGGGGATGGTAGCCCGAGAACGCGCCGCGCAGCTCAGGCAACCCGCCTGCGGGTAAGCAGCTCCCAGGCTTCAAGCCTCTGCCTGGGATCCGCCGTTCGCCAGCGGTCCAGCTCGGCTGCCCGCTACTACGGCACTGCGGCTCTGCACCCTGTCCCTCGCAGCCTGGCAAGTCCAGCTGCCACTCTCACTGCGGAGCCCTGCCCCCGGGCGCAGAGCCCGCCCCCGCCACACACACGCGCGCGCGCGCAATCACACGCGCCACACACAAACAAGCGCGCGCGCACACACGAATGCGGATCCATTCGATGGGAACACGCGTTCCTTTGGTGCGGCTGGGGCTTGGACATCTTTAGGGTCGTTTTTCTGGTACCACTGTGGTTTTGGAGGAGGAGGAATTAGGCACTGGGCGGCAGAGAAAGGACGCAGCAGTAATTGGGCGCCAGAGGCCAGCTCACCTGGAGGCGGAGGACACATCTTTGACGAATAAAATATCCACCAGGCATTTTCTTTATTCAGCCTAGATACCTCGGGGTTTAGGTTAGCTTAACTATCCCAACCAAAGCAGAGAAAAATTATAAATAAAAAATCGACAAGTTCTCTCTGTTTCCCAGGAACTCAGTCCCTTTCATATCCAGATCATCAGCTCTGGCCTGGGGGACTTTTCTGACACCCCGACTCCAGGTGGCGTGGACTGGTAGCTGTTCTGTTCTGTTCTGAAAAGATTTTTACCTCTGCAGATCTGGGTGGTGAGGGTGCTGCCTGCCCTGCCAGAGCTGGGCTGTCATGAATGGGTCAAATCTCAGGGCTGTCCCCCTAAGTTCCCCTTTGCTTTCAAGTGACACTGAACTGTTTTCTTGAAAAACAAACAGAACACTTCTTTTAAAAAACTGTAGACAAGTAGAGAAAGGAGGTTGGGAGAGGGCTGAGGCCTGGGGCGGTAGCACTGGCCAAGGCACTTGGACTTTTGCTGCCGCTTTTTCCATGACGTGCATGTGTGCGTGGTGGTGGTGCTGCTATTTCAGGCATGTCACACCAGCAAGATGACTTCTGTCCATTTCATACCACATTTCGCGTCACCAGGAGTTTAGACTGTCATCTGTAAACTATGTGCAGTTTACCAGTTTCCACAGCCGGGAATTCTTTTCCGCCAGCAGGCAAGGAAGGTCCCTGGGCCAGGACTGAAGCCAAGAAAAGCTTTCTGTGGAGTGCAGAGGCGCCCGGGGGCCCTGAGTGCTTGAGAGCGTCCAGTCACCTGAGGTCTCTGACAGTCAGTTGGTCAGTCAGCCAGCACACTGGGACACCTGCAGGCAAGGCTGACTGGACGGAAGGAGAGCTGGGGCGCAGGGATGTCCCCAAGGTTCCAGCTGGTGACAAAGGCAAAGCTGACAGCAGAATTCTGTGCTCATGCTTCCTCCAACCACCCACCACTCACACTTGGTTCTATCCACTTCCTTCTCAAAGAACTTCTTTTAATTAGACTTCCTTAATTAGAAAGATGTTTGATGAAGGTGTTGGTTTGTAAGTTCTTTTATCCTTTTCTTGTTTCCCTTTCATTCACTGACTCATTCATTTCACGACTTATTAAGCTCCTTCTATAGCTTCAGGTACTGCCCCCTGACCCCAGTCTTGGGCCTTTCTTGGCAGGAAGAAGGGATGGAGGGACAGGAAGGGCTTGAGGTTGTTCCATCTAGTTCTTGGCAGAGGAAGACCCTGGATAGAAGCTTACTGTGTGGAATAGATGTGGAAGACACCGTCCTGAGCTTCTGAATTGTATACTCCATGAGGGAAAACACTTTCCCGTGTATCACAAGAAAACCATCGAGGTTCTGTGTATGCTAAAGAAGGCTAGACTGAAGGAGAGCATGTGTTTGAATGAGCACTGTGATGGATTTGGGCATGGATGATTATTGTGTAGGTGGGGGTGGGGGCAATATTGAGTTGTTCTGCCTATTAGAATGGGAAGAGAATGAGTTGGATGGGATGAATGCTTAGCTGGGAACATGTTGGGGTAGAATAATGAAAGAGAAATTCTCAGATCGGAGATGCCAAGCAAGGATTTGGAGAATGGAAATGTTTGCATAGATTGGTAAATAGTTTGCTGTAGGGTGGACTGAAGAAACCTACTTGTTCTTATAAAGTAAATCATTTGTAAGGTCAGTATTGTTTGTGGGTTTGTGAATGGATTCTTTTGGGGGAATTCTGGACAGTAAGGAAACAAGCAACTGGGTGGATGTGTAGTGAGCCCACAAAAGCCTGGTCTGAGAGAAGGCTGATTCTGAGTTGCACACTAAGAACGTGTGGGAAACCGGTGCTGTGGGAGGTCAAAGCAATGTAGGAGGCAAAGAGGGATGGGATTGCAAGAAGCACAATAAGTGGGGCTGGGGATATAGCTCAGCAGCATAAGCGCCTGCCTGGCAACTGTTAAGGTCAGAAGCTGGATTCCTGGTACCCCCCCCAAAAAAGGACAGTTAGGGTCAAACGGGACAGCATGAAAGAGATGAGCGTGGGGTGGAATTTGAGAAGGGCGAAGGAACTTGACTCAGAGATCAGCAGGAAAGGGGTATTTCGAGCTTAGAGAAAGCAAAAGCAGAAAAGCAGGACAACTCATTGTGAGTTGGGGAGCTTCCCATTAGACGAGAAGAAAACTGAGTGTATGGAAAGTGTTTTCCCTCATGGAGTATACAATTCAGAAGCCCAAATGTACTCCTGAGGGATTAGACATAGAATCAACTATTGAGAGAGGTATTTTTTTGTGTGTGTGATTTTTCTGTTTTGTTGTTGCTTTTGACAGGAAGGGTATTAGGAAGGTAGCTGGGCAGCACCCAATGCCAGCTTTCCTTGCAGAATGAAGAGCTTAGGAAGATCACGGAGAGAAAGATTCTGTTAGTCTTTCGAGGAGTCCCAGCCCGAGTGGTGCAGAGGGTTCACAGTGCGGAGCACCCAGCCTGGGGGCTAAACTCTACCCTATGCTCCGCCTGTCTGCTCAACCTGGAAGGGCCGTGTCTCTCCAGAGGAAGTGGTGCCTTTTCACCAACTTGCACAGGGCTTCTGCAGCTGAGCCTTTTCTTTGAAAAGACTGGAGCCACACTGCAACAAATGAGGATTTACTGAGCACTAGCTGTCTGTACACATCTGAGGTAAAGTGTAAAGAATCTTGAAGTCAAAACTCTGTGAGCCTGTGCTCATCTCTGCTGTGTGGTGACATTCCACAGTGTACTGCAGGGCACAGAGGAGGAAGCTTGATTCCTGTCCTCAAAGCGTCTGCAACCCGAGTCAGCTATAAAACAGTCAAAATGGTTAACAAGCAGTAAGAGAAGTCTAGAACCAAGTGCCGAGTTTTATAGGGTGGATTCTCAGGGTGTGTGAAAGGAGACCAGAACCTGGGTTTGAGCTTTCAGAGGGGTGGATTTGGGAACGGGGCATGTGTTGATTCTGTTGATTCTACGTTAGCAACAAGAGTTTCGAGGAAAGGGCAGCAGCCAGGGCAGTCTGGATGGGAGGCAACAGCTTACAGTGCCTGCAGCTTCACTGTTGGCAGCTTGTACTCATGGTGCTGCTCTGGGAAATACATCATCCAACCAGCAGCTGGAGCCTCAGCTCCATCACCAAAGCAAAGCAAGGGCCCAGTCAGTACCTGTGTCTAGACAGGTTCGAATCTGACTGTCCCTGACAAATTGGGTGACACTTGATCCTCTGAGCACAGCTAAGAACTGGGCTACCTAGCACAAGGTGGGCTTGGTAAGGGGATGGGAGACCTGAGTTCAGGCTGCAGGGTTCCTCTTCACTTTCTAGCCCTTGTCTTTCTCACATACACAAAACAAAAGATCACACCAGGTTACCTACTGGCTCCCTTCCCCCAGAGGTTTCATGATTCCACAGTTAATAGGATCTTTCTGTTTCATCGAACAATGACAGGATGGATACTGGAATTAATTGGGTCCTAACTTTACTTTCTCTGTGGCAGTGTGCTTAAGAGGGACTGTGATATTTAGGAGGGGAACAGAATACTCTGAATTTTGGCATGATAGGACTTGTGGATGTAGCTTAGGTCAACCCTTCTTTAGGTTTCAGGCTTTAAAAAAAATACGTAGATAAAATAAGGTGGTTGGAAATTGTCTCTACAATCTTTTCTGGCTATGATGCTGTCAAATACAGTCCACAGAACAACTGCCAAGTACTGTCTGATCAGCTAGGCAGGACCTTTCTGTAAAGCAAGGTGGGAAAATTCCCACCATACCACTGGTAAGCTTGCAGGGTGGGGTAGAGGGGGCAGGATTTTAGGAGAAATAATCAGGCCATTGAGATGGAGTTGGAAGACCTAGGTCCACATTACCAAGTCTCAGTCTAGTCTTCTGTAAAATGGGGATGGTCATATGTTCCATGGTGTAGTAATTAAATGAAGAAGCTTGTGTGTAAATGCTTTGTTAATTTTAGAAGTATTATGCAAAGACATCAAGTATCACTATTAAAGATAGTCGGTTCCCCTAAGACAATTTAAAGCAAAACAAAGCCAAAAAAAAAAAAAGAAAAAAGCTCAGTTATATTATTTGCTCATTTGTTTGCTTCTTAAGAAGCAGTAATGTAATTCAGGTCAGCAACTCTGTCTCCACGTTCCTAAAGATAGCAGTATTTTAACATGAAAACTTAATAAAGGAGCTGGCAGACTTCTGGACTGACTAATAAACAGGCCTCCCACCTGCCCCTGCCGGGAACTTGGCCAGGGCACTGACATTGCACGCAGCAGGGTGTCTCAGCCACCGTGACTCAGTGTACTGGCGAGGGAAGGGGGATCCGTATACCCCAGGTCCCGCCTTCCTGCCTGTCAGGAATGGAGGGTGGAAAGAAGGAAAGAAAGGTGGAAGGAGGGCAAAAGAAGGAAGAGAAAAGCCTTTGGCCTTCCTGTTGTATTTTGAGCATGGGACTCTCATCTTTATGCTTTAACACGCTTGTAAAGTGGCTAATTTTGGTTTACTGCGTTACTCCAGGTCTGCTTTCTGCTCGGTGGCTGGGAGACGCTGCTGTGGAATTCTTCACTGGAGTCCCTGGAGGGAAACCCTTGCATGGGGAAAGCTGGAGAGAATCACAGGGAGGAAAAGGTTCTAATTCCATAAATGACCAGATGCTGTGAAGCCTGCCCAACCCATGCTACTTTGGAGACGATCTATCCATTTTTAGAAATACTGGTCCCTTCTTTGCCACTCAATTTGGGGG